AGTAAAAGCGAGAAAACTCTTGGTTTGAGATAAGAACAGTTTAATAAGTAAAATGGTAGTAGTAATAATAACAGTAATAATAATAATATACAAAGCAAGTGATGCACAATGCAGTTGCTCACCACCCACTGACCAACACCCAGCCTGTCTCTGAGCAGCAATCGCTGCCCCCCGGCCAACTCCCCCCAGTTTATATACTCAGCACGATGTCATATGGTATGGAATAGCCCTTTGGACAGTTTGGGTCAGCTGTCCTGCCTGTGCCCCCTCCCAGCTTCTCACTGGCAGAGCATGGGAAGCTGGAAAGTCCTTGACTAGTGTAAGCAGTACTTTGCAACAACTAAAACATCAGTGTGTTATCAACATTCTTCTCATCCTAAATCCAAAGCACAGCACTATGCCTGCTACTAGGAAGAAAATTACCTCTATCCTAGCCGACACTCACATTATAAGAGAAAAGCCTTGAGTTGAAAATGTGCATGGCATTGACTTCTCACATAATCTCTTTCAACAATATGCAAGCAAAACTATATCAAGAAAAAAAGGTGAACAGAAATACTTCTGTTACTACTACTTCCAAGCAAAACCAACACTACTACATGCAGAAATGAACAGAAATATTTGCTAAAATGTCTCCAAGACTACTACCCACTAATTCAATTCATCATGACAAACAAAACCCAACTATCCGTGGATCTAACACAAAACAAACACCCACACATACCACAACATCACACACACAAAGGGAATGAGCCAGCTGCAACAGAATAGCAACCTGTCCCTTCATTACTCACTACAAATCTTAGCTTGGAGCCTGTTACCTAGTTCTACCTTAGTCCATTTTCAGTATTACTCTGAAGGAAAAAAAAATATCAAAAACAACAACAAAAAACCCCACACACAACCCACAACAGTTGTCCAGACTACTACTGTCATTAAATCAAGATCCCTTTTTAAACATAGTCTTCATTGTAACATGGAGCTAAACCAAACAACTCCCAAAAATGCATACATATGCACACACCACATTCTGATGAACTGTACATACAATCATACACATATACATGTTTGTATACATATATATGCATACATACACTTTCCCTAATACATACATATAATGTAGTCCGAGCACTACCATCACATATGATCTACTACTAATAGCTTCATGATCATCAAGAGTTTGAATGACTTCAATAAAGAGTTCATTTCTTTCACTAAGAAAAATCACGAATTATTTACAGATTTGTTAGGAAATGCTACTGGATATATCCCAGATACAAAAGTCAAAATATTTGTATCAAAAAAACCCAAACTGAACTTAAAATTTTAATTCATAGAACTTCAAATTCTGTACTCATTACAGTTTGTACAGCAAGAGAAAGAACAAGCTTCCTATAAACAGACATAGAAAAGGCATTACTTAGTGATATCTACGAGAAAGAATATTGAGAGCTTAGTAGATATGAGCAGCATACTCAAGTTTCATATTCCTATGTATATTTCTGTGTGAGATTTAGAGAGTTCAATAGGGAATAAAAACAAACCCAGTTTGTTTAAATAACATCGACTAAACTCTCACCACAGTCAGGGTGACTGCACTCCGAATAAGAGTGGAAATTTTCTTTCACTCCCAAAATATTTTACTTTAATCCCCAAGTTTGATTTACTAGGAAAGTATTCCCATCTAACTAGACAGCAAAAGTGAAATGAATAAGTTTAAATTCAACTTTGTCTTCCCTCTGACTTTGTTGTCATGGCAGAAATCTTTGTTACATGAGGTTACATTCTTAAAAGTTATATGAGTTTTCATGTCAGTCACAATCACATAGCTCACTCCAACTGTTAGATCAAAGGGAGAAAAAGTGATATTTGATTATCGCTTTCAAGCTTATACAAAATATGTAATTTGTTTTAACACCTCAGAGTTTATTCACAGTTGCATTTTATAAGAACGTGCTATAAGTCACCGAAGTGTTAAGTCTCACCTAGTTGGTATTGTTTCCATAATTCTACTTTGCTAGCATCAATCTCACAATAAGACACAGCACAGAAAGAAAGAAAGGAAAGAAAAAAAGCCACAACTTGGACCATATTATACTGAAGAAGTCTCATGACAACTACAGGGCAGGAAAGCATCAATTCAAGAACTGCAGACATGCAGTTTCTACTTCCTTCCATAAGAGCTTCCTGTAGATATCTTCCAGAATGGTCTAACTCAAAGTCAATTTTTTATTATGAATTCTTTTGACATAAACTCCTACTTTAAGTGACCAGCCAAGTTCTCCAAATGCAGTGCACTATTTGTACTTGGTCCAGATTTTCACTTGGGATACAAAGCCATTTGATTTTGTGATACCCTCTCAGCACTTGTATTTACTATTCAGCAGTTAAAATCCAGTGCACAAGGGGAACAGTCAAGTTATCTGACAATACATTTGTTTTCACATTAACACATTGTCAGCATTCACAGATGAGACACAGAACTACTGTATCAGCCCATGAACATGAAGAATGCTCACTGAGTAGACAAGCAGTAATACTTCCACACCTCATTTTTCACACTCATATTTCTAAGCATGAGAATCATTCTTATACTGCATGCTGTTCCATCAAGAGGCATTAACACTAAACACAGCTGATTATACTTTGTTTTTTCTCTAGAGATTAGTCCAGTAGGAAGAAATAATGTGAGAAAGAAAAGAACAAGAAGCCTTCTAACATCCTACATATTAGTAGGATGTATGCAAATTGCCTATTACAAGCATGAATACTACAAGCATTCAATTATATTCCATCTTTCTTTTGCAAGATCAATTCTAAATGTCAAAAGGATTAGATCCTAACGAAACCATCAGGCAGAACAGTACATCAAACAGGAAAATTTTATAGTTAAAGAATAATTTAGATGTAATTCCTAGCTCCTATAAAAAATACTCACCAAGATCTGTATTGGGGCCAGCAAGTAGCTGCTTAAATTTGTCTAATCGGGATGCTTCTCTTTCAGTTAATGCAGGAGTAACTGAAGTACTATAGTCTGCCATTCCACTCACAAAGGGAGGTGTGGAAGTTTGTGGAAGGGACTGTGATCTCTGCATGGAAGAATTTTCACTAGCATTATCTGAAGGGAAAAAGAAGCATAACAGTTACCCTCAGCTACTGAGAAGGCTACTAATAACTTGAATTTAATTTGTAAATTTAAAATAGAATTGTTTTGGAGAAATGTAAGTTCAAGTATAGCACAAGTCTGGACTTCAAATTACTTGGATTTATCAGGAGGAACACTCCCCTTCCAAGCAGTATTCCACAATTAAAACACATCAAATAGAGATTATGCTAACAGCAAGGCTAATTGATTTCTAAAATCTGTGTGGTACTGAAAGCTGTTTCTATCCCCCTTCACCATTTGCGGGGGAGGGGGGGAGGATGAACGACAGGGGGGGGACTGGGAAATCATTGAAGCCGGTTACTTTGAAGTTTATCCATAAAACACAGACCAGATCACATGAGGATGAACTTCCTAGTCCACATGCATGGTTTTCTCCAGTTTTTCAATATACTTTATACAGTAGCATTTTAATAACAATTTTTCACAATAGTAGGAATACTATTAATTGCATACATCTTGGTGCAGTTAACCATTAAAATACATTCAATAGTGAAACTTCCTTCCAAAACTGAGGATGTATTAAGGCTGAAAACAAAAAAGTTTAATTATTATTCCCTCACCCATGTATTTCTCACACACATGCTTTATGGTTTAGTATGGCATGCAGTATCTCCCTCATATCTCCCTCAAATAAATCAATATTGATTAATAATATTTTCTTGTGGTATTAAGAAAAGGTTGGGAAGGGGTTAATGTCTTAAAGGGCAAATATAGCTCTCCTCATTTGATTTTCAACATCTTTTTCATTTTTTAACATACCTGATGAACTCGATGTGTGACCTTCACTGACTGATTTAACAAGCCTATTATCACCACATGCAGTTGAAGTTAGCTCTGCAGATTCTACTTGTTTTTCTTCCTGTAGATATTCTTCCTGAAATTTATGCTGTTCCTGTAACTTGCTGTGATTCTGAATTACTTTGTGAGCTGTTTCCATGACCACTTCTGTATTTAAGTTTTCAGCAGCTATTGCTAAGAGTTCATCATCATCATCCCCAAGATCCCAAGCATCACTTGTGTTACTTTCAAATTCTTGGAAGGTGCTGACTTTCTTTAGTTTCACTGGAGTTGTAGGTGGCTTTGAACCTGTTTTTATCAAGCTGTTCAAAAACAAATAAGCAATATTTAGAGAAGTAGTAACAAAGTAAGCAAAACACTATGGATAGGGCCAAAAAACAAAAGTCCATGCTTGACATTATATAGGTAGCAAATATTTATCTCCCTCCACTCATGTTACTGCTACATCCACCCATGATAACACACAGCTGAATACATCTGTGAACAAGGGCGGGTAAAAACTGACTCTTCTTGGCTTTGAATAGAAGCTGAAAAAATCCTTCTTTCCCTTGTCTTAGAAAAACAAACAAAAAAAAGAAAAGACCAACCCCAAAGTCAAATAAAACAAATACTACTGGAAACATTTATAAGATAGACAGGACACATTGCACTTCTCCTGCTTCATGAACTTCTGTAGAGATTTCAGGCCTTTCAATGCAAGTGCTGCATACCAACACAGGAGCAGTAATCAAGTCATCAGGTCTACCCCGAAGTCATCATAAGCAATCACATAATACAATCGCTGTCATAAACAAACTAAGCCTCACCTTAAAACTTATTAGATCTATCATTCCTCCCCACTCAGGCACCCCAGCATGAATTTGCTTCAGAGCTTTGCTCTTCTCATAGGCAGGATATTTCCTCTAGTTACTAGTCTAAGTGTACCCTGATCAGCTCCTAACCTTTTGACCCTCTGCCAACACACAGTATAATAGAGATGAACCAAGTATCCCTCCCTAGCTTGGCACTTGTTCACACTTACAGTAATGCAGAGTAATCACATCTCCCTTCAGATTTCAGCTAAATAAGGCATTAAGTTGAGGGAGTTTCCCAGTCTGCTCTCAAAAAAAGTTACTGCAGTTAACTTAACTGCCCTTTCTGACCATCCCTGTCTTTCCACCTGTGCTAGTTTAACATTTTTCTGTTAAAACAAGGCAGCCAGAATTGGAAATCAGAAGTTGTTCTCTCTCAGTCTTCATACAATATCAGTAATGTTTCTGTTATGCGTTACAGAGAATATCTTTCCTAACAAGTGCTACAACACTAACATTTTCGCCCAGCTTGTCATCATTGTCTAAAACAGCAAGATCTTTCTCCTCTTCTGTCATCGTTTCAAGCAATAAGCTTCTAGTTTTTGTTACTGCGTCTCTCTTTATAACTCAACATTCTGAACCAATTCGTCGCATTCTATTTTCTTCAGTCCTCAAGGTCACACATTTCAACTGCCTTCAACTCTGTATCACCCAAAAATTAACTAGCACATGTTTACTTCTTGTGCTGTTTCAAACCTGCCCTTGAAAAAATCCACTACAAGTATGACCTCCCTCCAAGCCAATACTCTTCCTTCTAACATTATTTTGTCCCTACCGCTTTGGGCCATTCATTTCACTGGTCATACAATTTTCCCAAAAGTCTCACATACACCAATATTTTAACAGCAATGCTGGTTTCAAAGCAGCTGCAAAATCTACCAACAAACCAGAAACAACTTTGTCCTTGACAAAGCTTAAGACAAACTGTCTTTCAAAAAAAAAAAAAAAAAAAAAAAAAAGGACAACAAAGCAAAATATAAAAGCAGAAGCTGTCAGAATGCAGCAATTTGTTAAGCACCTCAGCCATAAGGAGACAAATATCATCCACTTGCATTAGTTGTGGGTTATCAGCATGAAATTTATTTGGTTTCTAATGATGTTCAACATAATGTCGCCACTTTCATGTACATTGTGTTCTGATACCCAATAATCATGATCTAAGGAAATAAACTCTTAAATCACTGTAAAATCTATTCTACCTACTGTCTTCTCACTGACAAGCAAAATGCCCACTTTTGCCTCAAAATGGTCCACAACACAACCTGACTCTTTTCTCTTACAGACAGACAAATAAAGGCAGTCCATCAACAGAGAGATGCATGCCAGAAAGCTGCTTACACCTGAGTTGTAAGCTTCATCTGCTAAATTAAGATTAGTATTTACCATACAATTTCCAATTCATAAGGCACTGCAAACAGATAATAAAAACTTGGCAATCTATGTTAATAAAGAACTGAACAGCTGATTTGTTGTACCCAACATGGTACACACCAGGAAGTTAGAAAAGAGAAATTGGAACAGAGAAGTCAAGATTATGACAAAAATTGAAAAAGGAAAATTAACACTAAGCTTTATAGGCAACAGGGAAGAAAAAGAGGAAAGAAGGCAGAGGAGATCCAAATGACCTGGAATATTTAAATAGTAGGTTAACTTACGTTCCATGCAATAATGGATCAAAAGGCGGATGCTGAGCTCCATACACATGTTGAATACTAAAGGAAAAGACAGACAGTTATCACAAAAATAATAAAGCATTTGGGGGTTTTCTGTGTATTAAATAATAAACAATAATAAACAGAACTGAAATGTTCCAACAGTTTTCCATTTCAAAGAATCCCACATACCACTAAAAATAATGAAGCTGAAATTGAAGTGTCTACTGAAGAATAACTTAATAAAAATCAGAGATTTACCACACAGAACCTCTTTTTGAGGCCTACACTAAACTTAGGCTGACTTATTTTCCTGACCAGGATTAAAAAAGAAAAAAAGCTAACTCCACAATAAGAATCTACACTGCTTTTAAATTCTTTCTCTTCTCTAATTTATTGTTTCTTCATTTATCTCTTGGGGGGAAAAAAAAAATCTCAAAGAAACATCTGCAAAGACTGAATGTTCTATGCACCCTTGTCACCGAAAACCCAACCAGTCAATTCTTAACTGTTACTGAAGTACAACGCTGATAAATCTAAAGAAAAATGCAGAAGATAGCATGTTAGAGAATAAAAGCCATGCGAGTATTCTCCTCTGGAGAAGAGGAGGCTGAGGGGAGACCTTATTGCTCACTACAACCACCTGAAAGGAGGCTGTAGTGAGGTGGGTGTTGGTCTCTTTTCCTAAGTACTTAGCAATAGGACAAGAGGAAATGGGCTCAAGCTGCGCCAGGGGAGGTTTAGGTTGGATATTAGGAAAAATTTCTTCACAGAAAGGGTGGTCAAGCATTGGAACAGGCTGCCCAGAGAGGTGGTGGAGTCACCATCCCTGGAAGCATTCAAAAAACAGGTACATGTGGCACTTCAGGACATGGTTTAGTCTAGTCTACCCTTGATTGGTTTAGTGTGGACTTGGTAATGTAGGTTAATGGTTGGACTGGATGATCTTAAAGGTCTTTTCCAACCTAAATGATTCTATGATTTTATAAAAAACAAATGCTTTGAAATAAATAAGCTTCCAAAGACAGATTTATTCACTGCAATCTCTAACATTACAAAACAGCATGTTACTGTGTGAATAATAAAACTCTCTACAAATTAAAAGTTTACTTCCTCCTAGTTTTCAGCTATAAAATTGTTTCAGAAGTAAAAAAACTCCACAGAACACTTATCAAGATTTGCACGTGGCTTAATAATGGAAATTACTACAACAAAATTCTCTGACTGCAAGAGGAGCAAATCATATGCAACATTAACATCTACCTAAACCTGTACTAAAAACCAGATAAAAGGAGACAAACATGCTCTCCTGACAAATTAAAACCAATCTCCAGACCATAAATATAAATAAGTCCAACCTTAGTAAACCTGAGCTAGAACCAAGCCAAAAAGACTACAGTCACAACAAAAAGACTTAGAGTTATACTTACATGGGCAGTATTAACAGTAGCAAAATTAGCCCTAGAGATGACTGAGGATGGTGGTTTATAAAGTCTATCAATTTTTATGTGAATCTGTGCAAATCAAAAAGTCAGTCCACCGCCAGTCTTTCTCCGTGTCTGTATACCATACACTCCACAACCAAGTCTCGACGCTCTCCTGCTCTACGTTCACATGAGCATCAGGTGTCACTTTCCATTTAAGCAGACAGAATCTGCCTTTTCCTTCAGGCACTCTATGAATGACCATGATGGGAATCCAACCAAATATAAAACAATTACAATCCTCTCCACAGCATTTAAAAAATAAATAAATAAAAAATAAAAGCACATTCATCATAGTGTCCTTGTTTTTCCATGTGCCTGCAGTTGCCTGCAAATTAATTAACTACAACTACTCACAGACCCCGTGTAATCGAGGAGGGTCAAAAGTGGTTTACCCCCAAAGAACTCAGCAAAGTTACAAAATAAGAAGTTCAAAGCGACAAGGACAGTTGGACTGAAAGAGTTCATTTGTAACTAGAGAAACAAAACCACTACCAGTTAATGCTTATGGGTAATTGAGAATGGAATAAGTTAAACAGTGAGCAGGATTGCTTTGCTGAATTCAGGCAAATGGTATGGAGCATAGAGTTACTGTTCTCTGAGAACCAAGAACATGCATCATTCTTACAAAAGAAGATAATAAACTGAATTACTCTACTGTGAGAACAGTTTAGGGATGGGAGCAGAGAAAGTTATTGTTAAATAACCACCTGAACACGCATTCCCAGCCTGACGTAAAGGTCAAAAGCATTAGTATGACTTTGGGGATGTATTCCCTGGAAAATTCTCAATGGCTTTGTAGCTCTTAGCAATGATACAACGACTGGGTCTGCTGTTCACACTTAAGGAAGAAAGTTGAGAAATTGACGGTATTTTGAAATATCAAGAACAAACTAAAATATGGCTATATGACTATAAAGTGCAGTTTCCTGCGCAGTATTTCAAAATATCACGACTTGTATCAAGTCACAAAACTTCGTAACTTGTATCACTGCTAAGAGCCACAAATACATTCTCCCATTCAAAATTTTACGGTGAATACACCTCCAAAATCACATTAACTCTTCTGACCATGACATCAGGCTGGGAACACACGTTCAGATAACTATTTAACAACTTTTCTGACACAAGTTATAACTAACGCTTACAGAGACCACCAGCGATCTTCGATCAGGCAGCTGGAGGCACGCAACGCTGAAACGCTGCTGGCACTGAGCTAACAAGAGAAGCGAGGGAGGGAGAGGCCCTACACCACCCTCCCAGCTGCGAGCAGTGGCCGACCGGACGCGTTCCCCGCACAGAGCACGGGGTCGACGGGGATCCGTCCAAGTCAGCGGCCGAGGCGGCAGGAACACGGCGCTGGAGAGACAGCGACGCGGGATGGGCCCCACGGCGGCGGGGCCGG